CATGGCCCACAAAGGGGCGCACAGAAAATCATTTGCTCTGAGGATGTTTCAGATTCGGTCTCCCTTAGAATACCAAATAGTCCTTGGAGGAGACCAATGGCAGGTCCTCTTGGCCACTATCAAAACATGGTATCGAACTTGGCCCACGCCTTTTTTTGGGCTGGGGTTGTTTGAATGGGAAAATCAAAGGGACAACCAAAGGGAAAACCAAAGGCAGAAATCGTTGGTTCGACCAAAACTCACCTTCTAGCTTGTCGGAAGATGTTTATTTGCCTGTTTTGGAGCCTCACGTTGTGTCAACCGGTTTATGGCAGGGTGCCCGAAGTGTTTTTCCAATCTCAAAACATCACCACCAGATCAAAGTCACCGAAAAGGGCCCAAAAAGGTGATGTTCAAAACCGTCCGAAAAAGGGGAAAGATAGGAACCCCCGACCTAACCACCTGGAGACATGCAGATACCCCGGTGCTCCGCAAAGTGGTCGGTCTAAGGTGCCTTCCTTTGTCATTTGTTTCGTAGTTGCCAGAAGATCAGCCCTCATATTCTTTTCAGGCATCCCGCTTGGGTTTTCGCCTGGAACGTGATCAAGATATGGAAGTTGATCGGCAACTTTTCACATTGAGTGGAACATATCAGCTTTTGAGCGGTTTTCCCCATGGTCAGCGCATGTAAAGGACCTTTTGATCAACTCCCATATGTTCAAAACGAGGACAAATCAAGAAAAAACGGAATGTGTGTGGCTTCTCAAAAGGAGTTGTTTGAGGGTGTGCATCTGGGCATTGTGGTTGCTATTTGGCGCGAAACCTGGGTGCGTCTAATGGATGGTTGGCTCTTCGCTTTCCCTATGAAGCACAGCCAAAAGGCTAGGTCCTCCAGACTTTTCAGTAGAGACGTTAGAATAAGGGTACCCTTTTTCTAGTAGGGGAACCCTCCCCAAACAAAAGGGGCAAAATTGCACTACTGGGGGACCTAAAAGGGTAGCCCAAACCAATCAGAGCTCACAACTCAATGTCCAGCTCGCCTCCCACACGCTCTTGGCCCGACTGGGGCAATTTTTTCTCTCGGCAGGGCCTGCGGTCTGAGAATCCGCCGTCACTGGGAGTGCCAAGCTCCAGAAAACCTGCCTTGAGTAGAGAGGCTGGAATACGGGTACCCTTTTTCTGTCGTCTATTTTAGTAGGGGAACCCTCGGGTAAAAGGGCACTACTGGACCTAGTTGCGGGGGGAGCAGTCCCAGGGTCCTTTGCGGCTTTTCAAGGGTGCTACCAAGCAGAAACCTGAATGGAGATGGAATTCCAGTCACCCGCATATTTTTTTCTGGGTGTGCTAGTAGCAACTTGACGCTCAGCCGGGGCCCAAGCCCTTGGTCACATTGGCCATTCATGATTTCCCCCAAAGGCTTCGCGCCCTGGCCAACCCTAGCCCGCATCTCTATGGTTTCTCAACACCCACGTGGGTCGGGCCGAACCCCCCTGTCTAATCATTGGCCTCAACACCTTTTGCAGCACCGGTGTCGGCTCCGATGTGTCACTCCGGAGATCTCTCGAGAGCGCAGTGCCCATCCGCCAATTGCAATTCGAGCGCCGGGATCCTCGGGATTCCAAGCTCCTTGGATTGGCAGAAAAGCGGATCGGAAGAATCCCCCCCCCCGCCTCTCCAAATGCCCGTGGTTTCTTCAGCCGCATGCGAGGGTGAAAAAAAAAGGAAACGAGTTTTCCGTGGTAGGCGTCTCTTATTATGTGACTCACGGCCTGAGTGGATTGGCCGAAAAATAGTCTAAACTTCTTGTTCAGTCACTAAAACAGTCTTCCCAAAAAGTATACAGTCCTGGAACTCAGGGTGTGTGCTTAGTTCGTCATACCAAAAAAGCATGGGCATTTCGAGTAGGGGATTATCTCTGAAGCTTCTCAAGCAAGGGGTTGTATTGGGAAAAATAGGACCCACCAAATATGACAAAGGGGAAACTCTCTTGTTCAACGATTCCATCATCTCAAAACCTTCAAACGTGGAACGCCGGTTAGCGCGACCCCCCCTCCCCCCCCGGTTTCAACATGCTTGTGAGTCGGCGCAAGTGCAAGAAACATGTTCCCCTGCTTGCAATGAAGCAGATGCTTCAAGAGTGACTTTTAAACCATCCAACCCTCTCCCCTGTTAGTCGTTCTCCTTCTGTACGCGTCTTCGTCTTCTTCCCCTTTGAATTCTTGCTTGCTCATGTTGGCCCTGGATTCATCGACCTAGCAAAGAAGGGGGGATGTTCCCAAAAAGTGATCCGGATCCACTCAACGCCGGAATGCACCTGTGAATCAACTCGGGGTTCATTCATTTATCAACCGGGTCTACCCTTCACACGCAAAGGGCAACTGCACCCAAGTGGTGAAGCTTCTCTGGCTGTCCTTTCCAGCTCAGCTTGGGGACGGCTGGGCCAGGTTGAGATCTTGCAAGTAGTCAAAGGGCTCCAAACCCCTTTTAAGTCTTCAACTTGGCCCACAAAGGGGTACACAGAAAATTATGTGTTCAGATGTTGTTTAAGCTTTCGTCTGCCCTAAAATACAAAACAGTTTGGTTTGGAGACCCCAGTTGCAGTGCCCCGAGGGATTCTTGATGGGGCCGGAACCAACGCATCCTTCGAGCCGAAAACGACCCCTGCCCCCTGCAGACCAGCCACACTGCGCGTCGCTCCCAGACGCGCCTGGAAGGGATGAATGTAAGGATGTTTGCTCGGCCAGACTTATCCCCTGTGCTTTGCTGGTCGAGCTGGGAAATGAAGGAATACCAAACAGCCAAACCAGGTCTGGCAATGTGTGTACATACTCCTTCCACATACTCATTCCACAAACGCCTTGGAAAAATGACCGTTTTGAGGCTGCTGATACCATATCCTCTCCCGGTTGGGTATACGCCCAACTTGTGGGTTGCCAAGGAAAATGGCATGAAGATGTCAGAGGTGCACTGGAGGCAGCCCCAAGGTTTGACACCACTCTCGGTTCGAAGAACCTCCAAATGGCAACCTACAAGTGTGCCCCAATCAAACCAAGTCAGCTGGCCCGGAAGTTTTGGTTTGCTTGGCTGTGGTAGGTTGTGATTGGTTGTGGTTACAATGGAACGCGGATGACCATGGCAATGCAGTGATGAGGTTCAAGAACATGTTGGGAGAAATATATCCCAAAGACATGAACGCTCTGACCCATCTGCGTGTGTCTTTTTTAGGGCACCCCGCCCCCCAAAAAATAAATAAAATAAACATGGTGCCCTTCCTTTTAGTTTTTCTTGAATACCACAGAAAACGGGTACCCCCCAAAAAAAACCACCCATCTACAGCAGATGCCTTTCAACTCGCGGGAAGCCAAGGGCTAAAGGACGTCCTCTGTGGTTTCACTGCCCATCTGCGGTGCTTGGACGTTCGAGTTAGTAACTGGGAAGTAGGCTAGGTTGTAAACCAGTGGTCACTGACTCCGGAAGGGAGCAACAATCTTTGCGTCGGGGCGAAAAGCGTTGTTTCCAACTGGGCCAGACTCAGACCGCCTGCAAGAAGCTTAACTTGTTGGTAAAATGATGGACACCCAAAACGGCAACAGGTTAAACTGATAGGACCTTTGGCAATCAAATCAAGTTCCAGGTCGGACTCCCGCCCACACAATGTCTCTTTCGTGCAACTATCCGGAAAACGATCGGCTCCTTTTGGACAGGTTCCATGACCTGACGATCATGGCAACCTGGGACCAAAAAACAGAACCTAGGCCTTCCTTTGCTTCTTCGTCCCCTAGAAAACACAGGAAAAACTGTCCAATAGGGATAGATCCCCTTTAAAACCCACAGGGGAAAACAAACCACATTCTGAAACGCAAGTGGAAGTAGGCCAACGTGGGGTAACCAAAGGATCCAAAGGTCAGTTCAGGTTGGACCCGGAAACCACAGTCTGCCCTTCATTTGCGCGTAAACAAGGTGTCAGAAGATCTGCTTCTTTCCCGCGGGTTAAACCTTTGGAGAGAGCGAGAGAGAGAAGGCGGGGGGGAGGTATTCAAGGGACCTGGGGAGGGAGAGGGGGGGGGGGAAGGGAGCCCAAATAAGGCCTTGAGGCCTTATTCGGGCACCCCCACTCCCTCCCCATATGCTTTTATGGCATATGGGGGTTGATCAAAAGGTCCGTGATACATGGGGTGACCATTACTTGCTGGTGCGATAGGTAGGGAATGAGAAATGGAATGACCCCTATAAGCCATCCCTCGTGGTGTCCTTGAAGGGAATCCCCAGGTTCCTTCTTACCTTCCCTACTGAGCACCAGAAATGACGACTGTCGCCACATTGGAAAAGCTACCCATGGTCTTTTTGGGTACCTATTTTTGACCCACATCCATATGAAACCCCGGGTCCAGGTACTTCATCAGCTCCTATGCAAAAGCTTGATGGAGAAAGCTTCTTGGAAAAGTAAAGGATCACCTTGAATGCTCTCTCCTTCAAACCGTAGTGGCCCTTCATTTCCTGGCTCATCCAGCAATAAAAGGAAACCTCTGCCAAGAGGTCGGCATCTCTGTCCGGAGCAAATGATGCTTCGACGCAAGAGGAGGCCAGGGATAACTTGAACCCTTCTTCAGCGCATCAGCAGGCATAGTCCCGCAAACCTCCTGTAGAGCTGAACAGCAAGGCAAGCAGTGCCTAAAAGCTATCGAGCATTTTGTCTACCACCATGTGTTATGATGGCTTGTATGGGGGAGTTGTTTTTAGAGTTGGTACCTTTTCTGTGGCTTTAAATAACAACTAAAGGCAAACCGCGATGTGCGGGTTCGCCTATTTTTCAACCGGACCCATATACACCTTCCCATTGTCCCCCCATAAGGCTAGGCTAGTAGTGCTCCATGGCAAGACTCGTGCGAGGTCCCAGGAGAATTTTGCCTTTCTAGCTGTACCAGGTTCAAAGTCAGGTAGGGGAGTTGGGGAAGTAGATGGAATGATTGCCTACCCCGACTACTCAGCTACTCCATGGTGACGCTGCTTACTTGAGGTGACTAACAACGGATCCCACGGCTTCGCAGCCCGGCCTTGAGGCGAATGAGGCGAGATTGCCTGGCCAAGGCGCCAACCCAGTTGCCGTGTTAAGAAGCCTTCCCCCTTCAAGAAGCTTCCCCCTAAAGAGAAACCAGATTAGACGGAAGACTTTTCTCCATGTGTGAAACTGTGCCATCCTCTAGGATGTGTTTTTGAAAGGCGCAGTGCGAAACCCCTTTGAAAGACCAGGGTTATTGAAACAAGTTTCGCCCCCTCCAGCCTATTTGAAACATCATCCAAGGGTTCCTCCTTGGAGGGTTGCATAGTGTGGTCGTCATATAGTGGCTATATGCACTGGTTGCATACCAAAAGTGAAGGAACTCCCTCCATCCTCCAAAAAAGCAAACACCAAAAGTGAAGGAACAAACCCCATCCTCCAAAAAAGCAAACACCAATATCCCCAACAGCCCCGGAACGCGACGGAACACTGCGGAACCCTCCCTGAAGGATTCTCCAAGCCAGAGCCGATCTGGGCAGAGACCCCAATAGCTCTTAGCTGGTGGGGAACAAAACGCTACAATTCACCAACCCCAACTCTTGAGCCATTGCTTTGAGCCAGGTCCCTATAGATTTATAGATGGGGATGTTTTAGAGGGTCCATGGCCTGGTTCTTCACACAAATGTAGCCCGACTCTGCAAGGACCTCGGGTGGTTTGAAAGGGAAAAAACAACTCATCCATGCTTTGAGCTTCATATGGCTGAAACAGGGGGAGGGGTACGCAGGTTTTGGTCTATGTTTCCATTTACCAGGGTTCCATTTTGGCTACCCATTTTTGACCCACAGCCATATCTTGAGACGCACCCAAGAGGTTCAAACTGCTGGGGATGCCTGGCAGTCAAAGCCGCTGGTTGAGGTGGGCCAACCGACAAAACCACCGAAGAGGCAAGAAGAAACAACCAATCAACCAATAAACCAGCCAATCCACCAAATCCACAAACAAGGCATGAAAGGGGCCATAGGGAAACAAACCTAAGAGCACAGCACAAAGCAAGTCAGAGCACAACACCAACCAAACAGCAATAAACCCAATGCAGAACGCCCAAACCAGTCGCTCGCGCTCGAAATCGGCAAGCGGCCTCATCCGCATCGGGTTCTGCGTCGGCTGAATAAACACCTTGCAGGAGCTAGTTCGCGAGCTCGCGACGGAGCAGGAAAGCTCTTGAGCAATTTCGGGATGAACCAGGCATCGGCCAACGGTACCTCTTGCGGACCTGATGAGCGTTGAGCCCTTACGCGTAGGCAAGCAAACAAAAGCGCTGGCTGTTCCAAGGTGCGCCAACTCATGAACCAAAGTCGGGACAGCGCCTGAAAAAGTGAACATCCCGCCATTTTGAATGTGTCTCACTCCTAAGGCATAGAGACGGGCTCCCGAAAGATAAGATTGCTCCAGTGCTTTCGTGATGGCACTGACGGAGAGAGAGAGAGAGAGAGAGCGAGAGAGAGAGAGAGCAAATGCTCGCCAGGTGATAATCGTGGTCTAGTCACGGGATATGCTGGTTCCTACATAGGTAGGGCCGTATGGACCGCCAGTTGCGTTTTGTTTTCCCTGCAACTATGACTGGTGTTTGGATTTTTGTGTGGAAGAAAAGGCGATCGCAACTTGGCTATCTTGGCAACAAGCAGATCTAAAGCTTTAACACTGAACCGGGAGGTCTACTTTTTGCGATCCTTTTCAGGGATCTCTTCTTTTCAGCAAATGGCCCAAGCATGGATCGTTCATGCTTGTTCCCCAAAAAAAAGAAGAAGTTCCGGGTGAAAATCCACGGGGTATCAACCTCTCGACCTTGATTGTCCCAACAACAACCATAGTGTGTGCCGCTGTTGAGGTAGCTTTGAAGGGGCACCAACAGGACACCCCACCGATTTTGGGCATCCATTTGGACACCCAAACACCCCCAAACGGACTTTCCTAGAACCGAGCAAGGGGAACCATCGGAAAATTCGACTCATCACCATGGTCCTTAGTGGTCCGAAGAGTCGCCACTGGTGGGCGACAGTGGGGATTTGGATCGGAATACGTTTGTGTCAATGTCCGTGGGGAACCCGAAATGGTGGACATCACTTTAGGGGTGTGAATCGCGGACATCATATTTTTCTTTGGATTCGTGTCCAATCAGTTTTGAGGTCTCTGAAAATTCGTTCCCATATGGGTTTCTCAAAAAGGGGACCCCTACCTGGAGGCCTACCCAATTTTGAGAAAACCCCTAGGACGGTCTGCGCGGATCTTGAGGTAGGTGTCCCAAATTTTTGATTCGGTGGGTCTGTTTTGTGGGTACTGCATGGGTTCGTGGTTTTGAGAAGGGAAACCAACCGGCAAAAACCAACACTTTGAGGGGTCCCCTAAAAACAAGATCTCCAAAACAGTCCCCTACAAAAACTTGTTTTGGGTGTCTCCAAACAACTGAAAAAACACACACACACACACACACAAAACAAGATCTCCAAAACTCGCGGCACCACCTGAGCCCGTGGCTCACGTCCCCTGCGTCACTCGTCCTCGGTCAACTCGATCTTCAAAAACAGGCGGGGGCGTCAAAGTCTCCCTCCATTTGCTTAAGCCCCCGGGAAAGAATAATTAAAAATAGTCTTTTATTTCCAGTAGCGACAAAAATCCCTTTAAAACCAAAAGGGCAAATAAAAAAATATATGCTCAAGCAAATGGAAGTCTCCCATTCAGAGAAAAGCGCGAGGGCCAGCACTGAAACGGGTGTGTGTGTGTGTTCTGTCTGTGGGTATCCTTTTTGAGGTGGTTTTGAAGAGAAACCAAAAGGGCAACCCACCAACTTTGGGGATCCACCCATTTGGACACTCACCCAAACACCCCCAAAACGGGTTTTCCTAGAACCGCGAAGCCTTCCCTTGGCATTGCTTAGCGTTCAGGAGCCTCATCATCCAAGTTGGGGCCCCTTGAACCATTCTTTCAATGGGAATCCGTTGAACCCGAAACAGACTGGGTTTCAATGTACATAAGGGGCTGAAGCAGTACTAGTGTATTTTACTCCGATCATGACCAAAATTCATCTCAAAGCGCCCCAAAACCGAATTTCTCGAACTATTTAGCCCCTTGTATGTCTGTTTGCAAAGTACTCCGCTGAGTCTCTGGCGCACGTGACACAGTGAGTCTTCGGCTCCAGGCCCGGCAACGTCCGTACGAGTTCCAACATGCTTTCTGCCATGTGGAATGATCCCATCAAATACATGGCTCGTCTTTTGGTGAGGGTACCCCGTTTTTGTGGTCTTAAAGGGAAACCAAAAGGAACACCGCCATTTTGGGGGGTCCCCCAACAAAAGACACACCCTAATCAGTGTGATGCAAAGAAATTGGCAAATCTACAATCGGTTCCCGCCCTGTTGTGGAATTCTCATTGCCACCCAGCGGCACATTTTAGTCAATCCAACATATTCTAAGCATCATTGGACCCTACATTGGAAGGGTCAGGATTTCCATTGGGAAGTTTGGGACCTCAATTTTGCCCCCTTTGAGGTACCCAGATTCTTAGAGTAGTGATTCTCCCCTGCCTCTGATGGTGGTGGAATTTAATCAATGATTCCCCATGTCCCGGAACAAGTTGCCCCCCTTCCCCCCAAAAAAACATCCTCTGCTGAAAAAAAATGGCTTTGCCGTTCACCTCCCTGGTTCCTCCAGTGTTTGCTCCTGCTTTTGCGCCTCCCCCCCCTTTTTTTCCCGGTGAAAACGTCGAGGCACGTGGTCCGCGACTCCGCGGTGGAGCGGATGGAGAAGCTCTCGATGGATCGCCTGACTTTCCGAGCAAGTCACTTTGTGTGAGCCTGTCAGTTGCCCAGAAAAAGCACCCAGCAAAGGTGATCACCTCTTGGGGTGACGAAAAATGGACCAGTGGAGAAAACCAAAAGGAAAGGTCGGCTTGGGGCAATTGAGGACAGCAGGGTGTGTCTCTTTGTACTGGGAGCCCCAAATTGGCGGTTTTCCTCTAGGTCTCCCTTTAAAACCACGCAAGGGGTACCCGGAAAGAGGAAAAAGATGGCGAGGGAATGCGACCGAGGTTTGATGTTCGCCCGTCGCTCGCTTCGAACGCTGTCTGCACCCTTGCTGAAGAGAAGGACCACTGAACAGAATGGGGAGGGTACGACTAGAATGCTCAGCCAATCTTAGCCGATACATACGCCACAAAACACACCTCTCAACGGCAACCTACAGGGAATCTTGAGGGATTCAGGACAAACGTCCCATACTTACTTCTTCACAAAGGTGTTCTACTCCTCCAAGGCTTTTTTTACCCATCCCATCCCCCCCCCAAAAAAAAAAGAAGAAAAAGAAGAGCAATCAATCAAACAAACACATATCCCATTAGAGACATCTCCTTGAACTCCCTGGTCTGCGGCTCCATGGCAAATTTGCGGACTTATATTCCCCCTTGTTGGCCTGTGGCCGAGTGGTTCACATGTGAGCCAAGTGACCATAGAATGGACATGTTGACCCAACCTCAAATACACATAGATAAAAACCCCCACACACACACACAAACACACGCACATTTGAAACCAAAAGAAACTGTGTTGTTGGAAAAGACCGAATCAGGGCCTGGTGGTTCAAGAATGGGGACCCGTGGTTCCCGGAACCTTGTCTCTTGGCAGAATATCATCTGCTTGTGGTCTAATCAGATCGTGTTGAAAAGGGGACCCTGCTTCTACCTTGTACATTGGTAAAACACAGAAGCAGCGCAAGTTGCTCACAGAAAGGTTCCCAGGGCAGCAAACCTGCAATACACCGCCTCCGGGCCGCATATCCCACCAACAGTTCTGTCTGGTACAAGTGCATAACCAAAATTCCATCCCTTGCACGTATATGGCTTGTACTGGGGTATGTTCCTTTGGGGTATGCAAGCAAGGCTGGTCACGTCATTATACCACCCCCCAAGTAGATCAAACGGAAACCTCAGCTGACTTTGACAACCATCAGAAACAATCAACATGACCCCGGTTCAACGGGGGTCACTGGATTTCCCCTTCAAAGGTTGAAATTCACGGATCGTGTCCATCAAAACTGCCACTTTTGGAGGTTCCAAAAAGGGAAACGAAGGAACCCGGTGAAGAAAAAAAATGGTTTTGACCACACCAAAGTGTTTCAACCACCTTGACCCTTAGAAACAATCAACAAAAATCCCGGTTGAAACCAAGGTTTTGACCACACCAAGCTGTGTTTCAGCAACCGTTTTCGGGCCTGTCCTCAGATCCCCTACTAAAAGTGACCAATGCTTGGGTTAAATTCGGAAGCCCAACCACTAAACCAACGAACAAACTCCGGAACCGGAGGATTCGGCTGGTTCCGAGCCGCCGAGGTATTGGTTCCCCTTCGCCCGCTTCAAAAACTGCGGAAAAAAGAAACGCATTAAAAAAACAATCTCGGGAAAAAGCTCCAAAAAAACGGAGAAAAACAAAAGGAGAACAAAAAGAAGGAAAAAACCAACAATCTCAGGAAAAAGCAACAAACAAAAACGGGGAAACAAACAAAAAAAACCATCGATCTCAGGTCGCAGCCTCACGGCCAGAGCCCGCAGCTCGGCAAAGGCGCGCACGTGCCCGCGCAGCGCCTGGCGGGCGAGTTTCCCCCTGAAACGAAGGAACGACTCCGAGGAACGAGGGGCAACTTGCGGAAACTAGCGCAGGGAGGTGGGTTGTATGTTTTAGGTTACCCCTCACCTTGATTTTTGATTCCACGCCAATCGAACTTCAACCCCTCGACTCCCCTCTCCGCACAGGCCATACTGTGAAATCAACAAAATCCTGCTGGGATAGACGAAACGGCCATGTGGATGGACAAAATCCTGGCATGGACGAAACCTTACGCATACTTCTAGGGTACCTTCCCCATTCTTTCTCGGGATCCTTTCCCAGGGAAAACCGCTGGTTATTGAAAAGAACGATGGTTGAAAGGAATGGGGAACCAAGCCCTAGAATACTGCACGAAGCCTTACACATACTGCACCTGGTGAAAAGCTCAGCGCAGCTTCCCCCGCTCTGTTCCAACCGCACCCGCCTGCCGCGCGAAGGCGGGCTCAGCCGCCACCCGGCGCAAGGCGGTCCGGAACCTCGGCTTTCCGCAGGGATTCGGCCGCGCGGAGTCAGCGAGTCAGCGGCGAGAATTCGAGCCGAAACCTGAAATTGGTGGGGCTCAACGTAGGGTGGCTCAAAATTGGGTGTCTCAATATAGGGGATCCCTTGGTTGGATGTTGTTGTAGAGAAATCTGGTGTTTTTTTGTGTTTTAAAGTAGGGGGATCCCTTGTTGGATGGTCATATACAGGGAAAGGGAAAAGGACACCTAGCGGCTGGATGGGGTCCCAAATTTTGAGAAACACCCGAATAAGGCTGGGATCCCCAAACAAAAAGAAGGGTGGTAAGCTCATGTTAACCCCGATCGCTCGCCATACATTGGGCAAGCAAAATGGCTGTCAATTGGCCAGGTCCGTCAACAAGAACATTTGGTGAAAGTTGGGGTCCTGGTCGTCCTTCCGTACAATTCAGTTTCTACGACCCCTGGGTGCCCTTTTGCGGGCGTTCCACCGCTGGGGGGCCCGTGACAAACATTGGAGTTGAGTTTTCTAAAACAGGACAACTTGGTCCAAGATGGCTTTTCCACCGCCCCCAAGCTCATTCCCCTAGTTCTTGAACGGGTTTGTACTCTCTAATGGCTTTAGAATTGCTTGTCGAGGTTCCTGGAATAGACCCTATTACGCCCCATTGGGCCCTCTTGAACGCCTTGACCACCATAGGATACATGGTGCTGGTAAATGATTGGAACCAAGCTGAAACCAGTGCCACAATAAATGTTCAACAATCTGACCTAGTAGGACACCAGTGATCACAACGACTGCGGGGGGGAGGGGGGGCGTGCCTGGTTTCTTCAAACAAACCCAGCACTGATTGGGCAAGCCACGTCTTTGCAGATAACCAGGCTTGGAAAACGCGTGCGAATGCATACTAAACATGCAATAGGTATATATATATATATATATGTGTATACATGTAAATATATATATATATGCTCCGTGATGTTCTTCTGGGCTTTTCCTGGGCCTCCCTGGGCCCAAACCTCGGCTCTCGCTGGGCTCCCCCTGCATCTCCTCCGGCTGGCGGCGCATCCTCTGCCGCAGCACCGAGGCCTGAGAGACCGGCCAGACATCCGGGGAACGAAAATGAGCGGCTCGTCTCTCTTTTTTGGGGGAAAGGGGGGGGTACTCGTTTTTGAGCTTTTGAGGAAACCCGCCATCTTTCGGGGTACCCGTTCTTCGGGGGACCCTCTTTTGGCTGGTAAAGGGAAACCGAATGAGAAACCAATGCCACTTTTGGGTGTGGCACGTGGGTCTGCCTTTTTTCGGGGGTACCCGTCTTTTGAGGCTGATTTAAAGGGAAACCAAAAGGAAAACACTCCCATTTTGAAGGGGTCTGATTCCTAAAAAGACACCCCCCACATCTCAATAGGCTGACCCTTTGGTGGACATCAAAATGAGGTGAGGATTCGTGTCTGCCACCAACCTTTTGAAGTGTCTCCCGAGTAAAAGTCATGGGCATCTCATATAATTTACCTAGGTCTTCCAGTAGCAAGGTTAGAATAAGAGTATCAACTTTTTTCTGTAGTCTATTTTAGTAGGGGAACCTCCCCCAAAAAAGGGGTTAAGAGGGCACTACAGGAAGACCTAGTTACTGGAAGCTGATCGGTGCATTTGGGTCCCGCGCAGGCACCGCTAGACCTGCGGCCTCCCGGTACTCCTCCGGACGGCTGAGGTGTCGGTGGCACCCGGTTTGGACGCAGGTTGGTGCCTTTTCTGGCTGTTGGTTCCTTTGAAGTTGGTACCCGTTGTTGGCGTGGTGCAAGTTTTGGAGTGGGCACCCGTTTTTGATGAGAGTTGGCACTTTGTTGCCCTCAGTTTAGTCAGTATCCCTGCTTAGCTGGCGCTTTTTGGAGTTACAGTAGTACCCTTTTGGATGGAGGTTGGTGCCTTTAACGGAGTTGATGAACCTTTTAGACATCCTTCTCCAGAAACCCCGCTTTTTCCGGTATGATGTCAAGCCCGACTAAAAACAGAAGCAGGTGCGGAAGGAAACTTGCGTTCGTCAAAATATATCTGGATGTGCGGCCAAGTTAGTAAGTGGACAGCCACTTGTAGCTAAAGTGAACCCTTGTGGAAGGGTTTAGAGCCTGGGGATGGGATTCAAGAAGGCAAATTTAGGTACCCCATCTGGAACATGTGGGTGTTTCTCAAAATAGTGGCCCCAAACATGGTTGGTGCGCTATTGGTTCTCCTGTAAAAGCAAACAATGGGGTTCCCTGTTTTGAAACAGATCCATGTGCAACCTGCGCAAAGCGAAACCCACTCGGTGAGTGCACAACTACGCTGCACTTGGGTGTGCGGCAAAGTTGGTAAGTGGTTAGTAACCTAGGTTATGATCTACTTACTAACTGGGCCAGCTCTACTTGAGGGACATATGGCTATGGGTCCAAACCCCGTACCCCCAGCGAACATCCCAATGCCCACTAAAATAGGTTCTAAAATGGTTGGCGAATTCACCCACCAACCAAAATGGGATCCCATTGGTGTTGACCCACAGCCAAATGTCAAGGGAAGTTACTAACTTGGCCAACCACCCAAGCAGGGTGCGTCTCCTCCGGCATGTCCCACCACCATCTGAGCACGTCGGCAAACGCCACCTGGGCGTGAGCTCAGACCACTGGCAAGTTGCAAGGCGGCGATGTGTGTTTCTCAGAACAGGGGAACCCGCAAATGACGTTTCCCTTTGGTGTCCCTTGAAAAAAAAACTTGTCTCTAGGGATAGCTTCACAGAAGTTTTGCTCTTGGCCACTCGTCGCAGAGATTTGAGTCATTTGGATTCAACCATTTGACCTACGGACTGAATTTCCAAGGGTACCTTCCATTTCCACTCTTTCCGGGGATCCGGATCTTTCTAGAAAACTTCCGGAAACCCTGCGGAAAACGGCCAGTTTTTGGAAAGAACGATGGTCCGTCGATGGTTAAAAAGAATGGGGAATCAACCCCTAGAATGTAAGTGTTTCTCAGAATAGGGGAACCCGCAAATGACACGGTGTCCCTTTGGTTTCCCTTGTCACAAACTCCCAAAAGAGGGTTCTCGGAAGAAAAGGCAGGCACCCATGCAGGTCCTTTCTTGCAGGTTCGAGTGGCAGGCTTCCTGGAAGAACCCCCCGGTTCATTCAATAAATCCAGCAAGCAGACAAAAACTGGCCCTCGAGGATGCAAATAGCTGTGTTTGGAGTTGACAACATCGGCTCGACCCTTTTTGGGTCCCTTCGGACCCCCTTCAAACGCGGCAGAAAATGACAACTACCTCAGTGCTTGCCCCCAACCAACAATCGCATGAGTGATTTTGGTCCAGACCGAGTAGACCTAGAAATGCAACATGATTGGACATCAAAAACTGGTATATATATATATATATATATATATAATGTGCTCGGGTTGAACAAAATGTTGGGGCCTCTTTGGACCAAACATCCCCTTCCAAACCCCCCGACCCCACTCGCGCAAAACCAACCGCCAGCTCCCTGCTGGCTGCGGCTTCAGGTTCAGGTGTACCCTGAAGGAATCGGTCTCAGAGCAACCCGTAGGCCTACTACCGCCAGTTGTGGAATCCCTAAGTAAGATGGAGTTTTCAGGGGTCTTTGGTTTCCTACAGAACCTTAAGGAAGCCTTAAAAAAAAGACCACCCAAGGGCTCTCCTCTGCCCAACGAGGACGGAGACCCGATGGACGCTTCGTGCTTGGTCTCCGCGCCACCTGGCGCCGCCCGGACCCGAAAAGGTTGTCCACGGAGCGCTGCTGGCACTGGCGCCGCAGGCGGTCCAATTCCTCGCCAGATCCAGGCGACTCGGCCCGGGCTCGGCTCGCCGCTCGGCTCGATCCGGGCAAGTGAACCCCCAACAAGCAAATCCATCCATCAGTTCGGGACTCGAGGTTCTGTGCGCAAAAAGCATCCTTCAAATCCAAAAAAGGTCGTGGAAGTTGGAATTTGGCCTCTTGCACATCTGTGCACACCTTATGTTGTGGACTGGAGGTTGGCCTTTGAAACACATTGGGCTCAAACCATGGTGAGAAATCATCTCTCAGCCTCAAGTGCCCAACATATGTTTGGATCGGTTGTGGGAAAATACGGTACTTGTCATTCTGCGGGGGCAACTGAACAGCATCAGGGGTGTGCTCAAGAGAAAGCTGGAAACCTGGGTCCACCAAAAATCACGGAGGGGATTTGGGGGGGGCCCTTTTCTGCCGGGAATTTGGAGGTTGTTTGAGGGTGTTCTGGGCTGGACCCAAACTCCAGCAGTTCATAAGGGCCATTCAACAAGGAGAACGGGGTGGTTTGATGTACTTTAAAGCCACATGCCGTAGAACTACTAGTACTTTTCAAACCCCCTATTGAAACTCGGGGGCCAAGTTAGTTGTGTTTTGTTTCTTGGGAGACGGGGTTGTTTAGGGACAATCTGGCTACCCACATGGGCGTCTTTCTGTTGAGGCTTGCAATTCTGCTGGGTTGGTTTAAAGGAAACCCAAAAAGGAGCCTTCAATGTTTGGGGGATCTCCGATTTTGAGACAGATACTTGTGCCAAGTTTCTCGCTAGGAAGCGGTGACCCGGTTAGTTATGAGTTGGCTGCTGGTCAAACATAGGGCAACCCCAAAATGTAAAAATGTGTTGCCCTGGTAAATAGGAACGCGGCCTACCTGCGCTCCCCTGGTGGATCCCTTGGCTTCCTTTTGAACCAATCCAAAACGGGCACCGAGCCTCAAAATAAATGGCGCATGCAAATGCCAAGCCCCTTGCTGAACATCTTGGTGGCCCCGCAACATGAATCAACAAGCGGAGTTACTGGACATGGTACGGTTCAATATAAGTGGGAATCCGTACAGTACATGTTTCGGAGGTGTGGGGTTCGGAAATGTTAAAACGCATCAGGAAGTCCAATTGGACATATGGACCCAATCTTTAAACATGGGGAACATGTCTTACAGATTCGTAAAACTGCGTTTTTGAAAAGTTATGGTGGCTGCAAACGTTTGGAATTGTTTGCGCCTGGCCCACAAAGAGGCACAAGAGGCTTGGAACTGTTTGAAACTTATCTTGTGGCTTCAATGTTAACCCCTTGCGAAACCGGGCAAACCAAAAATTCGAAAGGGCACAAAATGCTGGGGTGCAGGTGCACGTAAACAACGACAAACGCAGAATCACCATTACTTCAAAGATTGAGGGGGGTGGGGTTCCCCCCACTTCCATTTGGCCAGTCTCCCCCACAACCGGAAAAGGGAACAGCTGGTTGTGGGAGCCGTCAAGTTGCGGTTGACCCCGTAAATGTTGCAAGTAGAAGACAACAAACAATACACAATTTACTATGGTTTGCGTCTGGCCTCCTCCCAACATTTACGGAATCACCCGTACCCACATGGCCACCCCCAAACCAACTAACCAACCAACCAGCCAGCCAACCAACCAACCAACTAACCAACAACCAAACATCACACGAAAGGTCCCGAACCGACACCCCCAAACAAAAAGAAAGAAACCGCCCCCTCCCACGCTGCGAAACCCTCGCCATCGACCCTGCTCGCCTCCAACTCTCCCGGCGATGCCCGGGCGTCTTCCTCGTGGAAGCCTGGCGCGATGTTGCCCCAGTCTTGCCCCGTGCATACGGGTCTCTCTTCTTGAGGGGCACCCCTTTTTTGGTGTTCAAGGGAAACCAAAAGGAAAGCCACTACTTTTGGGGGATGCCCCAACAAAAAACGCGTCCTCGTTGGACTGCAAGCGGCCTTACCCGTGCTTCCGTCAGTACCCATTGTTTGACTGACCAAGCCGGGTGATATGCTTGGTGGCCCAGTGCGAGAAGACCTGCCATTGATCTTGAAGAAACACAAGTTCCTCCCAAAAAAGGAGACTCCTTTTGGCATGGAAACTGAGCAACATGGAACCAAACAAGTGGGTCCTCCAAAAGGGAGGCTCCTTTACTTGTTCCATGTGAATCTACCGGATGTCAACAGACAGTAGCCCCACTTCAGTTCGCCCAACCTTGGCTGAGATTGCGCCTCTCTTCCTCTCTTCCCCAGGAAGCAGGGTGTGTTTTGCTCCCACTCCACCCAGGGAATCCCAATGAAGTGAAGAATGACGAATTTCCAGTGACCTGGGCTGTCCTCAGATCCGCCACTAAAAGTTTAACTTTTAGTTGGTTACATTAAATGGAAACCCCCACTAAAACCTAAGCTAAGGGGACGGCTGGGAACCGCCAAGTGATATCACAGGCGATTCCCGCGACCCTATAATAGGGTTAGTGGACACTGGTACTCATGTCCGATGTGGAGCCATAGTAGGGGAAGCCATAGCACGGCTATCAGTGCCTAGTACTGGCTATTCGGTGCCGTTAAGGACACTTAGAGGCATAACCTTCCTATCGCTCACCGTGCTGAGCGCTGAATCAGTTGTGATTGACAGGGACGTCGTCAGTTTTCAAAAGGTAAACCTTCGGTCAAACAGAACGCCCAAAGACAAGCCTATCAGTGCCTATCATCACTTACTACTAAACCCCAAGTGGCTAACCACTTACGAACTTGGCAACGAGCGTCCAAGTACTCAAACCGAAGCGGCTCAGCCCGCGCCATCCCATGAGCGCCCGCAAACACCCTTCGTTTTTGTCCGAGTTGTTCAGTTGAAAGCCCCGTCTTAGGCGAAACAAAAAGAGGGGGTTGTGGGTCTGCATGATCTCTCACAGGTGTTTCGCATGTGTTTTTCTTTCTGGCTTGGTGAGGGTTGTGAATGGACTTCAAAACGGGCCGGGCACGCCGAGCAAGTCCTCCAGCGCGTCCAACACCTGGCCCAGGTGTCCGTTTGGAAAAATCGGTGGGTCCTGATCATTACCCTTGCTCCCACAAGCTGACTGGGGTTCAGCTTTGAGAGAAACATGGTCTTCCCTAAACTTCTGGATGGGAGGGGTAGGTGCATAGCCGCCAATCGAGTGGAAGACGACGTTCCTTTCCAGGAAGTCTGTTGGCATGGCGAAGGCATCTGGCGATTGTCCTATGTCAAGGGCTCCCCTCTTGGCCGAATCCTAGTGCCCTGATTCCATTCCAGGCTCCCTGGAGGGCTGGGAGACTCCACCGGGGGCCTTACCACAGGCTGAAGGATCTCGTCGTTTTACCCCCAATCAGTCACCTCGATGCCCATGAAATAGGCAGAACGCCTGGCAGCTGCCGCTTGATCCCCTCAGTCACACACGCCCGGTCTTAACAGGCGGTGCAAGGTTAGCCCTCAGTCACACACGCCCGGTCTTAACAGGCGGTGCAAGGTTAGCAAGGTTCACCAAGGAGTCTTTCCGCACCTGCCTGCCAGCTTTGGCGCGCAGAATCCAACCCATACCCTGGTTTCCTGGGCCTAAGGCCTATTGGGGTCTTATTTTGGGGCAAACAGGGCAAGCGGAGGTTGGATTCCTACGAACGTTGGGAGAGAGAGTTCAACTCCTTCAAACCCGTGGTCATTCCCATATGGGCCGTTGTCAAAACTCCCAAAATGTGGGTCATGAGCAGGGTTCCCTACTCAATTCCTGAGTGGATGGACCAAGAAAACCTCCGAAGCTCTTCGCTTGCCACTAAACTGGTCCAAACCCACAAAAGTGACTAACGCTCCGTTGAACTCATGGAGAGAGCATCTATCTGGAATTTCATTGAGGGTTTGGGTTCCGTTTATAGAAACCCTTGGCATGGTTGTCTACTTGGATGTTCGGCCAACTTAGCGAGTGGTTAGCCACTTGGGGTATAACCCCCTTATAACGAGGCTAACCCCACTGACAAATTCCTGTAGGCAGGCTATAGCCTAGCTTACGAACAATGAACGTACTGACTTGGCAACGGACATCCAAGTACACATCCATGTTCATTTTGGCCCAGCCCCACACCGATGCGATACGAGTCCTGTTGCGAGTGGTGAGTCTTCAGCAAAATCTACTCGCTTTAGCGAGCCATTTGGCTCCGAAGTACAGGATCTTGAGCTCAGACCGAAGCACAGGGTCACTGTCAGTACCGGTAAGCCAGCTGCATGTTGTTGAAATACATTTCCTTGAGCTTGTTGAGCTCTTCCCTCGCGCGGGGCTTAGCCACAGCGTGCGCATTGCCCGAGTTGCCCTCGTCTTGCGTCCACTAAAAATGCCACCTTCGCAGGTCCAGAGAGGTTGGGATTTGAGGAAGCCCTGAAAGATTGGGCCGCAGGTACCCAAGCCTCCAGTTGCCAAAGTCCCCTGGAAAAAACCATCCAGTAGTGATAGGTTCCCATTAAATGACAAACATTTTCTTAAGCAAGTGGAAGCAAAGCAATGTTTCACCTCTGGTTTGGGTGGGGGGGTTCTTAAGCAAGTGGAAGTCATGCTTCACCCCTTTGGGCGGAAAATCCCCTCGACCTCCCTCAAAGCCGAATCAATCCACGACGCGCGACTCGAAGGCTCGAAACCTCGCCTCCTTCTTGGACACCGAGCCGTCGAAGTTCTTCTCCCGCTTGCCCATGAGCTCCCAGAGCACCCGCTCCTCGCGGTTCGATCGAGTCGATGGAACTGTCTCGCGAGACCGCGACCCGTGAAAACCGGCCGACATGTTTTTTTTTTTTTTTTTTTTTTTTTTTTTTTTTTATGCCCCAGGTAAAGGGGGCCTCAACCTGTTAAGAAGCCCACCGACCAGCGGACAAATTGGAGGATAGTCGTTCTCCGAAAAGTCGATTTTTTTAAAAAAAAAAAAAAAAAAAAAAAAAAAAAAAGGTGGTGTCCATCGACATCGCCCACTTTTTAAATGGAACTGAACCCAAACCCATGCCATGTAATGCTGACCCAATACTAATCAACGCCTGTTTGTTAATGTGGGGGTGGGGGCCCCTCCAAAAGTGGTCTGCTTCCGCACATTTCACCCAGAAATGGACACCCCTTTACTAATAAACAGGGAGTTGATGAAAGTACGGGGTCAACATGACTTTGGGTGCCTTTTTGCTTTCCCCAAAGGCTTCCCCCTTGACTTCCATCCCTCTCACCTGCCGGTAACAATGAGTCAATATGGGGTCAACATGTTCAGGAAAATGGTCAACATTAAGGTCCCCCACATTTCACCCAGAAGTGGACACCCCCTATTAATAAACAGGGGGTTAATGAAAATCTGGGGCCAACACTTTCAGGAAACACGATCAGACTTAGGCCCAGTTCCAGAATATATACAGTATTGCTTGCTTCACTTCGAGTCACTGGTGAAATCTAACATGTATCCTAAGTCTACCCCAGCAAATGGTCCACCGAGTCCCCGAGCCCAGAGCCTTCCAACCCATCTACCCACCCCTTCGGAACACGCGCGCTCGCTCCGTGGGCACCAGCTCGCTGTGGATGCCGCGCAGCACTGCCAGCAGCGCCTGGCTGAGCCCAGGGAGCCCAGGGCGCCCAGCATCCACCCCCCAGGTGGTGTGGACGCCTTCTCCACACCCCACAGCCGCAAGCGGCGTCCCATTTATTTGGAGGGCCTCCCTAAGCCGTGGCGGTTTTTTTTTGGAGGGCGTTTCCTCCTTTTGATCCAAAGATCTGGGGCTTCAGCGCTTCTCCGGATCTTTCTTCGCTCTCTCGGACTTCAGCAAGGTGCAGCTCAAATCTGCCCACTGCAATTGACTGTGAGGGAGGGAAGCGAGAGTCGGCTACTCTCTGGCTACATTCGCGTAGCCATTCGGCCGAGTTCTTTTCCAAGCGCGCAAGCGCGAACCGCTTGCGGTCCTCCAAAGAAAGCTGACGCCTTCGCCAAACCAAAGTACCGCTAGACGCCTCTGCGGCGCCCGTCTCCGGCAAACTCGGCCACTGCACTGTTGAACAATTTATCAAGTAAATGTAAAAAAACAAAAAAACAGAAGTAAAGATTGCAAAGCTTGGTAAGCTATCGTGCTTGCGGGCAAGCCGTACCTCATGTCTTTACCTCTGGTTTGTGTCTGGAACGGCAACTGGATTCACTGGGAGTTGGGAGAACCTTGACCTGGTGGTTGTCAACGGTCCGATTGGCCCCTTGATTTACTCAACCTTGCCCCCCCCCCTCCCCCCCAACAGGCGAGCGTCGATTGGTTCTGAGCCCCATAGGCAGCCACCCTGAGCTCAGGTTGTTCCTTCCGGAAATTTGATAAAGGGATACATCGGCTTTAGGATTTGGCTGGTGGATCCTGTAAAGCTGGCTAGTTGGGTGCATTATAATACTTCACCGAACGAAAACTAGCTTTCCTAAGGATCTTCGTGGTTCACCTCCTACCGTCTACCAAAGCCAGGGGCTCCAACCCACAAAAATCACCAATCCAAACCCACCAACTAGGGGCTACATCCAAAAACCACCACTTTTGCCAGGGATTCGGATAACCTCCCTAAAAAAGAGCATCAACCAAAACCACCGAGACCCAGTTGTCATCAGAGCCCTGCCTTCCAATATATGCCCATGGAATTTGAAAGCTAATGGGGAAACCACCAAAAAAGATTTGATATGTCCCACATGGAAAAAGTTACCCATGCTCATTTTGGGGGGCGAACGGGATATTGATCAACCCCCAAACGGAAACTCGTCTTCAAACAGAAAGGGTAGAAGGGTACATACGCTGCTTGCCCCTGAGAATGGTGGGGTAGTGGAAAGGCATCCAACTTGGTTCAGAAACGGGTGTCAGGGCTTGAGCCCTGTGTGACCTGACTGACCCCCCTTCAGGACAAGAGACTCGGCTGTTCCATCGCATACCAAAAACTGAGGCCCTTAAAAGGCAAAGCTCAGCTGAGTCACTTGCTCAAACCCCGGTATTGAAATGGTCGACCCAGAACCATGTGGGTGTGGGTCAAAATCAAACCACCAGGGGACTGCAGGTTTTGGTACATGTTTCCATTTACCAGGGTTCCATTTTGGGTACCTATTTTGGACCCAGAACCATGCTTCAAAAATGAAGAAGGCGGAATTCCGCACCCATTTCTGGCAAGGGGATTGTCCCGTACTAACCTTCATCTACCCGAATCGGTTTTGAGCACGTGGCTCAGCTGAAATGGTTTTTCAACTCGCGATCAAAACGCCAAGCCCTTCCCACGAAAAAACCCGCCCAAAGGAAATCCAAAAGCCAAAACTCCCCGGAAGAAGACCTGCCTTCACTTCTCGGCCGCGGCTGTCCTGGCTCCGAACAGAAATCCCTTAGAACTCCCTTTCAACATGGAAAAAAAGGAAAAGCGTATCACTTCAACAGGCACACCCATATATTCCCCTTGTATAAATGTCGAAGTCTATATCTATATATACGGATGAAGGGTCTTGGCAAACTATACCAATGCAACCCAAAAAATGCCTCCGGTCCCTCTGAAGGAACCAATTCCATGGACGTCACAATTCTTCCCCGGAAACCCGTGATGCCGCGAGATCTTCTTGGCCAAGACCCATACTTCCCCCTAGAAAGACGAACGAGGCTGTTGTGGAGAGCCAGAAAACCTCATGGGAACTTGTCCAGGTCTGCTGGCACAAAAGGATCCCGGGAGCAACTAAGCATACGGTATCTGTAGCGATAGATTTCGGTTGAAACCGGGAAAAGTAAGGAATACTCTTAAGCACAAGGACGTCAACCTTAGGGGTTATTGCAACAGGGAGGTATCACCCAAAGCTCAAAGGGCGCCCCCCCCAAAATCAAAATCGACCAGACCTTCATCAGGCTTTGCCAAAAATTGTATTGGGTTCTTCAATATATATATATATATACACATATAAAACCCAACCCTATGGTTTCGTAAAATCCCAATGCTTTCTCCAGAAAAACCCCCTTTTCGCCGAGGGACCATCCCGAGGGACCCGTCAGAACCGCGCCTTCTGCGAGAGGAAGGACTTCAGCCGCTGCTCGCAGTGCCAGCTGCATGTGAGCACCTGCAAGACCGACTCGAAGCCCGGACGGGCTTCAAATTAGAAGACTTACCGCCGGAAGGGGAGCAAAAAATTAGATTTTAACAGTTCAGTGGGGAGTTCAACCACTAAACCACAAGAAGCGAACAAAATAGAATGTTTCCTAACAACCAACCAGATACCCCAGACTTCAACCCCCAGAACGGACACATGTGTCCATGCTGGATCTCCCTAGTTCAAATTATGAACATAACCCGAGGTTCTGGAGTCCTTGGTGGGGGAAGTGGTCCAAGAAAGAACGAGCGAATTTGTGAGGCTCCAGAACTAGGATTCAGCCGATTCCAGCTGCACCCGGCAACTACCAGCAGATTCCAGCTATTCAGAGCAGCCTGATTCAGCTGCAGGGTGAAACTCGAGGCACCCAACTTCTTTGATGAAAGTGGATATATCAATTCCTATTCTTTGAATGGTGTCTTGAATCCCAGGGATTACCCATCCCCCCTTCCTAAGAAACCTGCTCCAGGACATTCTTCAGTTTCTTGGACCTTCGTCTTCCATTGGGAAAATAATAAACATAATCTTAATTTTTGCTAGAGCAACCCAACTCGGGGGTACTCCAAAGATATGTTCAGATTTTGCTTCATGTATAGTCGACCCTGAATTACAAACCCTCAGATAGGGTTCGAGTCGGTTTTGGTGGAGAATTAGCTAAACAGCTTCGCCAAATGGGTGCAAATCGAACAATTGGGGACCATGTGGACATCCCTCAAGGGGTGCCCTATTTGACAGATCCAAGTAGCTCCCCCCAAACTCCTCCATTCCATGTTTGAACCTCCAAAGTGGCGATCGTTTCAATAGAGACCATTTGTAAATTCATCAGCTTTTGAAGATCCAGTGATCCCTGCCAAAACCTCCCCGCGCTCAGAACCGCGCCAGCGTGCGCTGGTAGGCCGCCGCAGACACTGCCAGCCCCAAGTCCGACAGCCGCGCGCAGCGCGCCTCGGAGTTCGGCCACCCCGCATGGAAGTCATGGACCAGTATGTGCAGTCACACGCTCATCAGCCCCACATGAAGCTGCTCTAGGTCCTCCAGATTTGAGAGGTTAGAATAAGGGTAACATGCTTTTTCTGTAGTCTATTTTAGTAGGGGAACTCTCCCCAAAAAAGGGGTTAAGAAGGGCACTACTGGATGACCTAGTACTCAAGATGCAGCAAATACTATATCTCATGTACAACATCACGTAGTTAACACAAACACAGTGTGGTGGTAAAAATGCCCAACGATCTGCAAGTCCCACAAACCATTGCGGCTGCCATCAATCAAGGGCTTCACCCCATCCAACCTATCAACCACTTTTGAAGGGCTCCTTAAAGAAAAAAAAACATAGCCATCATAGAAGGGGCTAAATAAACTAGAATGGGGGTGTGGTGCAGCTTAAAACCAGCTTTAGTCATGATCATGAGAGTAAACTATTCATAATCTGTTGGGCAAACCCCCTGTTGACTCGGTCTCGCTTGAAAATCAACCACCACCTGCCTTTACAAGAAGTTGGCTCCGTCCCTACAGTAAATCAGCTGGTGATGGTGCTTCTGACTGGCCAAAATCTTGGTCCACATCTGAGGCACCCAAAAAAACAATCTCGCCTGATTCTCTTTCATATAAGTCCATGTCTGCCCCGAAATATCCTTTGGTTTTGGAGGCTCCCTTCTTCTTCCCTCACTGAAGCAAGGACAGGGGCTCTTCCTTTGCCTTGATGGTCCGAGGATGGGGATCCTAAAGTCATGGTTCACGGTGTCAGGGTGCAAGAGTGGGGCGATCTCACTCACGTCTTCCCTGGCACGAGCCAGAAGCGGGCCACAAAGGCCTGCGTGTCCCCGCTGCACTTGGGGAGGGCGGTGCAGGGAAGCAGCGACACCTGAACCCCATGAACTGCGCCGGTGTCGGCCAGGCGTCCCAAGCTCACAGCCGAGTCGTCAAAGGCAATCTTCAAGGTCCCAGCACCAACTTGCCCTTCTCACAAACTTGGCGGCTGACACTTGGCAGCCACTGCCCCCTTGCCTGACAGCCCAGACCTTCTGAAAATTAGACTTGGCCTGACTCGGGTCGAACAAATACCTGCCGAGAGGGCCACCCCTACCTGGAAACCACGGCCACGACGTCAGACAGGAGTTTCTATTTACCCACCAGAGAAAAAACATGGAAATTGATAATTAAAAAATGGCCTCCTTCATGAATGTGGACCCTCCTCCCTATCTCATATGAGCCAAAATTCTCTGGTACCCTACTGGACATGAGGGCTTGTCTGCCTGAGATTTGTGAGGAATTCACGGTGTTCCCATGTCACTCCCAAATGGACCTCACACAAATCAAAACATGTTGACCGAAGCTCATATACGTGGCCCAAATCTGGGGTACTCCGAAAATATGTGGGGACTCTGTTTCATGTTTTGGCTACCCAAACATCTTCATCGGTTTGGAGACCCCAGAAATAGCAGAAGTACTTCTAGGGCTCTTGCCAAATTTTGCAGCTAACAGAACGCTGGCCAACCTTGAGGGGAGAACCAAAGGTATTGTGAGCAAAAAGTACGACGTTTAGCTGGTGAGTGAGAGAAATGTATGTTTTTTGTATATACACACACATGTTTCCAAACAGTTGAAGATCGATGACCCAACTCAACAGCCAAGGTATGTGTTTTGTTTCAACGGAAGTTCAAACATCTGACAGCTTTGGCTCAAACGTTTTGTCTGCCACTAAAATTGTCTTCCCAAAAAAAGATCAGGAAGTGAGATGATCACCCTGTGACCGAATTTGGTTTGCAGTGCCCCCCCCCCCTCGGCATTCTCTCACTTCCGGGCCGCCCAAAACGTCGAAACGTTTTACGACTGAACAGACCCAAGCCTCTAATGTTGACCCCGGATGAATAAACCCCTGTTTATTAAAATGGGGGGGTTCCTCTCAAAAAGTGATGAATCCCCACTAAAACCGAGGACACCCCCAGATTAATAGACAGGGGTTGATTCGTCCGGGGTCAACATTCAGGCGCTCCCCGGCGACTTGGCCCCCCGGGCGCGCAGGTCCGGCACCCGCGACACCGTCAGTGGCTCCGCCAGCCCCGCGCCTGGCGAAAGCTCTGCGGGGTACCCAAAACGGAACCCTGGCAAAAGGGAACCAAGGACTAAAACCTGGTGGTTTAATTTTGACCCATACCCAAATGGCTGTGGTTGTCAAAACCGTTTTGGGATCCCATTTTGGTCGGTAGGTGAGTTCACCACCCATTTTAGAACCTATTTTCGTGGGGATTGGGATGTTCGCTGGGGGTACGGGAATTTGACCCATGGCCAAATGGAAACAAACCCAACCACCAAACCGACTGAAGGATGTAGGTCGCAGGATGACGTCCCGAGGGCCCGTGGACGGAGCCGCTGCCAAGCGGGAGGTCAGTGCAGCTCGAGGCGTGCGTTCGCACGCCCAGTAATACTGGTGATCACGCCCCCGCGGCGCCTCCACCTGGCCGCGGCCATCCAAGCGCGTGGACTGATCCAGCGTCATGCCCACGAACCAACTTCGACGCAGCGCCGTGGCCCAGCAAAGTTCCTTCCAGGTCCGGGTGGGCGGGTGTCTGCGCCGGCGATAGCATCTCCAAGCGCCGAAAGCTGCCTGGGAACCACCAAGGTAGTCAGCAGCTGCCTGGATTTCCCCTAAATTTGATTTTTGGTACAGGCGGTTTCCCTTGAAACTGATCCGCCTATCCAAAGGGGGAAAATTGATGAAACCCTGCTTGAGGGGCGAAATTGGTCAGGCGCGAAATTCGGGCATGCGTGTTTGTTGAAGCTACAATTTGGATCAACGTCTTCAAGCCTCGACAGCCCCATACGGGTGCGCTTTTGCAGTTGCCCAAAAAACAGCTTGGCTCAAAGGGGAAGCAAAAGGAGACCCAGCATTAAGGCCTCCCCAAAACCGGGCAAGTAAATATGTTTAAGCTACCCGCGCCTGCGGCCCTGCGTGTTTGGCAGTTTGTCCTTGTAGGTCATTTCAAAAACTAGATCATCAACGTAGCGTGGGTACAACCTGCGCAGCACAGGCGACAGCCCGTCACAGAGACGTGGGCTGGGCTGCGCTGGGCTGTGCCCGCATGGCTGTTGCCTTGATGGCCCAAAAAGACGCTTTGCGCAGCATGCCTAACGCAAATCTTCCGTTACCTTTAGGCACAGTACAGCGCACCTTGCAATATTGATCAAAGACACTTCGCAAGTCAGTTGTTCCATTTTGGGCGCAGTAAGCTGCATGTTTTACCATCCGTTTGTGCGACATCTGCTCCCGAGTGGCTTTGGGGAGCCAAAAACGCTGGCCTTAAAGGGACAGCAGGAGATTTCAACAAGAGTGGTTTCAACATCTTCAAGCATTTGGGAGTCGCATCGGAAGGGGGTGCCTTTGCAAGGCTGCAAAAGGCTCCTTTTTCTCGACAATCGCTGGGGTTCCCCGGCCGTGTAAGCCCCAAGTTCAAAACCATGTCTAACTTTCGGAATTATTCAGGTTGATTCTAGGGTTGGTCAGAATGGGGCATCCCCATTTTCCGCAATCCGTGGGACACCCACTGGCAGGACTAAGGATGGACTTTGAACAACCCAGCGAACCCTCTTGTTGCTTTGCTCTCGGTTCCATGAGGCGCATGTCAGACTGGAGAGCCTTGAATCATCTTCACCACAAAACGTGGGGTGACATCCCAATTCAAGGCATCCTGTCCGAGATTCAACCTGGCTCGATTCGGAAGCATCTCATCTTGAAAAAACTCTGCATCAGTTCAATACCGAGGAAGTCCACAGCCTCATTTCACCCGCCTACACAAGGACACCTAAACGAGTAAAGCAGGGTTTTGCGATTGATTTCGTGTGTAGTGGTTTCGGAACCCACCAAAACAGGAGATTGAGAGGGCGTGGCTGGGTGAGTCAACCCCTAAACCCACCAAACCCCAAAAGACACCAACGCCCCCCCCCCAAAAAAAAAAGAAGAAGAAG